GTACCATGTCAAAATTATATGTCAGTGAATTATTAGCTGACACTGAAAACAAATTTTTCAGGATTTAGGAGTTTCGTGTCCATTAAAAGTTTCTGAACCCTTGGTGCTGAATTGATGTTTGAGTTGTTTTATTCCTAAAGTAGCTATTACCATTTTCTATAGAAAACTACATGTGTTATTTTAGTTATTTAAAAGTTATTTTATTACATGGAACCAGGAAGTGTGTGTGTGTGGATTTGGGGAGAGGGGGTGTCTGTTAGCATCAAAGTGTTAAGCTTGGGAATTTTTCGAATTATTTTATTATTGATCACAAAATTCACGTTCCTGTTTAGGAGTATCTCGAAGGTGTTTCCAACTGATCGAACTCCACATATCTACGTCCCCACTGACCACAGTTTTCTCCTGATAAGGAGAGTATATATCTTGCTAATTTGTTCGTGTTTACTACATACGTGAAACGTTAACGGTAAAAGCTGCACACAGTCAGGTGAGACAGTGACATCCTCCTTGAAAGGTGTAATTGACCAATGACAAACTTGTATGGACTTTGGCACGAGACTTTCTTTTGATTAGTGACATTTTGCAATATATGGTTTAAAAAGGAAATAGGGTACTAGAAAGTATAACTAAAATTCATTTCCAGCAGGTTACTATAATCAAGTCTAACATCAATAATAGTTCAGGAGGTCTAGATTGTACCTGACCCTCCCAGGTCTACAAAAACCTAAAGACCTGACCCTCCTAGGTCTACAAAGACCTGACCCTTCCAGATCTACAAAGATTTAAAAACTGACCCTCCCAAGACAACAAAGACCTAAAAACCTGACCCTTCCAGGTCTACGAAAACCTAAAGACCTGACCCTCCTAGGTCTACAAAGATCTAAAGACCTGACCCTCCCAGGTCTATAAAGAACTAAATACCTGACCCTCCCAGATCTACAAAGACCTAAAGACCTGACCCTCCCAAGTCTACAAAGACCTAAAGACCTGACCCTCCCAAGTGTACGAAAACCTAAGGACCTGACCCTCCCAGGTCTACAAAGACGTAACGATGCCGAATATTTGATTTCACTTGACTTGTGTATCGAGGTGACATTGATAAACATATTGAGGTGGTGTTGGTAATGTTATTGAGGTGGTGGTAAGTGTTTTAAGGTGGTGGTGGTAAGGATATTGAGGTGGTATTGGTAATGTTATTGAGGTGGTGGTAAGTGTTTTAAGGTGGTGGTGGTAAGGATATTGAGGTGGTATTGGTAATGTTATTGAGGTGGTG